AGCGCAACCCGAACATAATAAACTTTGTATTCCTACAGTAAGTTTCTTCGACCCGTGGTGCAGAGGAGGGTGGATAAATAATAAACGCTGTCACCCTAGCCCCTAGGTGGATCCTCCCCCCGCGGTGACGTTTCGCATATTATCCAAACCTTGATAATATTATATTATTAAAGTGACCATACTGACCGATCATATTATAACAGTACAACATTTATATAACATACACAACAATATTACGAGGTGAACGAAGTGCGCGCATGTAGTGCTGTTTATACAGAATTGGCCATTGTGTTATAACCCTCGTCGTTAGCAATATAATTGAAAAATCCGAAGCGCACAATGTTTCCAATTAAATGTGAACCAGCAAGCGTGTTCACATTGTACACCTCAGGCTAGCGGCGTTATCACAGTATAACTACTATATATATAGATATAGATATAGGTATACGAAACTATATTACTATTGTCTTTATATTGTAAAATATTATAGTTTGATTCAWTGGCAGGCCGAGAGAATTATTAAACATAGTRGGTTAGTATAACTACCATATCTAATATATACACATAATATAGCGAGCCGGCGGCGTCCCAATTTGTAGCGGATCGTTCACAATAATTTTGAAACCTCTGAGGTTAATCCCCGGTGTGATCTGGTCAGTGTAGACCTTACGCCGCGCCACCTCTTCCGCTGTAAAATCATCAACAGAAACGCGCCGCGTTCATATTACATATGTATTTTCGTATAATATGAATATTAGTTTAATGTTGCTTATTAGTATATAAACCATAATTATTATAATACGGATGTGATCATCTACTAACACGAATTTCTATGCGTATAATATAATATGCAGTTTCCATATAGCAAATTTTTATGTTCAACGAATTAACGAACTATTTTTGAGAACCATGACCTTCGTAGATAACAAATATGTAATTCTATTTAACGAATTCCACTATATTACGATTTTTTTTTTATTCCCCCATACGACATCGTTTTATGAAAGTTTTACTGTATTATTATTTATTATAATGTGACTTGTATAATGCCAACCACAGTACCTAAATGAGTAATACTACGCCTGCTATGGCCTATGGAATATTCTGGTACAGTGCGTGCGTATATATTATGTATCGTGAACAATATCGGAGAGGAAAAGGTTATCTGTAAAAACAAGACGGATATAGAGCAGCGGCGGCGAAATGGCATTGTAGTCGATGATCTATGCCGAAAGATGATTATGAATACGTTATTCACCGAAATCTGCGATGTCCCGACTCCCAAAGGGTGCCTTGTACATAGAGCACAAATGTAATTTTATGTGTAATAAATTTTTTATGGAACCTGCTTACCTAGGTAGGTATGTTATAATATACACGACGCAGAGTGTTGCTGTAATATCGTGCAGTTGCAGTACCTACCTATCGACAGTAATTAGTATTTTGGGATTATGATTTACGATTAAAGGCTTCACGCCGGACATATAATATGTAATTATACACACACACACGCTCCACGTTTTTATTTATTATTTATTAGGTATATAAAATTATTTTATTTTATTTTATTTTATTTTATTTTTTTTTTATTTTTATTTTTTTTTTTTTTGAGGTAAAGGCTTAAAATTATTTATTAGGCGTAAAAGTCGTATCATTGCAGTATTTTAGTTCAAGTCTGTTTTCAAAACATAATAGAACATAAGCAGGTGGTTATTGCTTATTTTTTCCGTCTTTTGTAGTTTGTACACAATATGTTTGAAGTCTATTGCACAAATGCGTACACCGTGCTGGTGCGTAATTAAATAAATATCAAAAATTCATAATATTATATAGGTATCTATAACTGTGATTATGATTTTTATGTGATTCGACATTGCGTAGTGTAAAAAATAAAATAGAATAAGGTACATCGTATATTGTTATTATTGATATTATTATTATTATTATTATTATTATTATTATTGTAATAGTAGAACACTTCAATGCCGTATCGCATTCAAATTAATGTTCTAAAATGATATGTACGTTCAGTGGCCCCTTTACGTCAAAACAATTTCTTTGGTTGCGATAAACTAATAAAGTAAATTGATTCAATAATAAACCATAGCACAATTTATTATAATACTTATTAAATCAATTGATACGATAAATTAACGATAATCTGCAGTGACTAGGTATACAGTAGCTTATTTCATGTTTACTTATATCGTACATACCATCGTAATATTATCGTAAATACACTACACGAAACTGTTAATAATTACCTATAACCAATAATAATTATCACGGTGAAGAGGATTACTAGACTAATCAATTAAAAATGATTTATTTATTTAATTTATGGGCTTTATTTTTTTTTCTAGTGGAAAATTAAACGAAGAACAATAAAAGGAAATTTTCTTATAAGCATAAACTATCTAAAAATATACTTATAGTCTTCACAACACAGTAAGTTGTAATACAGTTAATATATTTTGTATTTTTTTCAATAGTGAGGAATTAAAAATAAATAATAATACCTAACAATTTTAGAGGTTCTTAGGTACTGTTTATAAGTTATAATATTTATAAATAATATGTACATTATTTAAATATAAAAACTCGTAAAAATTAATGGAGTAGAAAATAATATATACCTAAGGTTACAATACGGTTACGATTATGCAATAGGTACAACATAAATATTATAAACGAATAATCTCAAACATCACGGAGTTGAGAGTATTACTATTTTATGCGATAATAATATTAAATATCATGGTCTTGTGTTGGTAAGCGTTTTACTAATATTATATGGTGTACAATATACAAACATAATGTGCGTACATCATAAAATGTTAAAACCAATAAAAAAGTATTTATATAATATACGATGGTACACTTATTTTGGCGTATAACCCATAATATACGACAATACAGTACATAGTTATTCAATTTAGTAAAGCGACGTACTTCGTGAACAGAAAACATAATATTATACTATTGAAAGTCGATTGGTTAGCTGTTAATAATATATTATAGCAGCTGACTCTTGTTTTCTTTTCTACAACGAAAATAATATGGTAATAAGCACTCGAAAAGCACAACCAGTTGATCTATTTTTTGCCATTTAAAAGCTTTTTACGGCTGTCGTTCAAGTGCTTGCGCTTTGTACAAGATATAAAATAGAGTCGTTTAACGGGTGAAAATAAATTAAATAAATAGAGCGAATATAGCCATCTCGAGTGTTGGCAGGTGTGTTATTTCTACCCTACATTTCATTCTTCTCTAGCACTTACGACCGAATTACACTTACACTTGCGAACAGATTAGCTTAACTTTCAACAAATCTGTTGCATAACGTGCACGTTCCGCGAAATGAAAACATAATATTGTTACGCACGGTGGCTGTATTTCGAGGGGAAAAACTTTTAAACCACCAGTTGACGGATTCCAGACAAAATCCAAGGTATTACGCTACAGAAATAA